GAGGCGAGACTGAGGGAACTGGGTCTCTTCAGCCTGGAGAAGAGGAGACTCAGAGGGGATATGTTGGCGACACACAGGTATGTGAGGGGATGTCACATGGAGATGGGTAGAGACCTGTTCTCCCCTGCAGAGGAAGGCAGGAGGCGCTCCAACGGAGCAAAACTCAGGGAGCCAAGGTTCCATTTGGATGCCAGGAAGCACTTCCTGACAGTCAGGACCCCGAGGGTGTGGAATGGGCTTCCACGGGAGGTCATTGAGGTCCCATTGGTGCGGGTGTTCAAGGATAGGCTGGACATGCACATGGTGGGCATGTCGTGAGTGGAGCCGGCTGGAGATGGGAGTGAGACTAGATGGCCCAGGAGGCTCCTTCTGAATCACTCTGTTTCTATGTTCCCATGTTTCTTGAATCCATCCAGTTATCCTGCCTCAGCTAACTGCTCCAGCTCAGTTGTCTTTGTGGTCCTTGACCCTTCACTTGTTCATGACCACATTCTCATCTTGCCTTCTGGTTCCTGACCTGGGTCTTTTCTGTGGCTGTGACTTGTAATTGCTATCGTACCTTGCGATTAGCCCGTGGATTCTGTACTGCTTTGGATCCTGTTGTTCCAGTCTCAGTGCCTTTATCTTGTCTCCCACTGCCCCCATCCTGGACTCTAACACTAGGCAGAGAAATTGGATGAGCAATTTTGCCGTATTTCACCAAGTACAGAATTCTTCCATCAGTTCCTAACACACAGGGATCACCGCTGGCAGGAGTTACAGCACATCTCCCTTCCATGTTTCCTGTAGGATTTAAGTTTTCTGCACTGCCCACCGCAAACGGCAGCGGCATCTACCATGTTGGCAGCCTGGCACCCATTTTGCATCTTCCACAATACCCATGCAAAGCATCAGTGTGGTGTAGAGGCTTTGTGGCTCTGGGGATCCAGCTTCTAGTTCTTACTTGGCCATGAATTCACAAGGTAACTTTGGGCCAGTCACTGAGTCTTGACCTAGCCTACTTCATAAGGTTCCTGTAAGAATAAACTTGAGTGAAGGAGGAGCATTTGGTAAGCTGCTTTGGATCCCCTGCAGGAAAAAAAGCAAGACAAAAATAAATCAATCAATCAAAGACAAGTGGGAGAAATGAAATTCATCACACAATGTTGTAAGCTGCCCAGGGAGCCGATGGCTACTGGGGTGGCATATAAATTGAATGAGCAAGTTAGCGAGCAAACCGAGGAAGAAAATCTGGACACGTTATGTGGAGTGGACTTTTATTGCTAGGCAGGTTAAGACAAAAAAAATCAGCACAGTTCTGAGAAAAGGGTTTTCTGAGAAATGTTGGCTAGGCTCCAGTTGACATTCTTTATGGGCTAGCGACTTCCTCAGGGTCTTCCAAATGTTAAATTATTGAGGAGTGATTGTGGATACATTTTGAAACTAACAGTGGTGCAGAAGAAGGATTACAGAATGAAAGACGGGACACTTGCACACACATGTAAGCAAAGTAAGCACAGGCAACCTGAATCCACCCTATGAGAATTTCTCTGAAATTTCTTCTCCTTTCAATTTATTTTCCAAACCAATTTCTCTTCTATCACACTGAATGAGGTGGTTAAAATATCGTGGAAAACATGTTTGTATCACACTGGTCTTAATTGCATACATTAAAATACAATGGAAAGTCATTTAGTTTAGAAGCACAGGTGGGGATTACTTTTTTACTGAGACCTCTTTTAAAGAAAAGGAGGATTTTACAGATCACACCTACTCTTTCAAGACATAAAATTGTTTACAACTCATTGTTCACTCTCTGCATAAAGCACTCAGTTGGCCGAAAATATAAGTGCCCCTAACCTATAACCACACATGGTCTGAATCACAGGAAGGGACAGAAACTGACCTTCTCATCTTTCTGGGATTCCTTCGAGTTAAAGGTCAGCCTCGTTTGTCCATTGCAAGTGCCACCACTGATTTGCGAGAGGGCTGGATGCCTCCCACTGCCCCAGAAGACCAGCAGGCAATGTCATGGGCGAGTGCCAGGCCAGGCTTCGGCTGTGACATGCCCGGTGTTTCTGCAGCAGTGCTCCTCTCTCCTGAAAGCCTCCCCCTTTTCACTTTATGCTGCACTGTCACCATAGGAGGCCCCTCCCAACTGCACTATGGGGATAATTATACAGGTCACCTTAGCAGAGGATTTCTCTTTTTTTACCCATATAATTTTTGTGAAGCATTTTGAGCATGTTGGAAAAACACAGTGGATTGGAACCAATTGCGCCATCTTATCTGTCTGCTCTGAAGTAAGTCTTCTGTGCTCAGTGATGCTTAATCCCATGTTGATGAATCATGTACCTAAATTAATCATGTGGATTCTGGATTTTTATCACATTATATGTATTAACTGACCATGCCGGGATGTTGTAGTTATCACCTTCCTGGCCTTGCTATTGAACACTGTGGCTATTTTGCCTTCTTGTCATCTACAGGGCCTGTCCTCTTTGCCTTTGATTTCCCTCTAACCACTCTATCTACAGCCCCTACCCGGCCAAAATTGTATGTCTTGCCAATTTAGGATTCACTCCATGCATCTGTGAAGGAGCCCCTGCTGCACAAAAGTTGGAGCTGCAATACATTTTTTAGACTTCAGGCTCCTGCAGAATTCTTCTTGATCTGAATTGAAATAATGGGAACAATTTAGTCATCAGAGATTCAGTGGGAGTAAAGTGTGACTAACTGAAGACTGGATCCAACCCAATAGGAATACCAGCTGCTTTAAACGCCATTCTTTAAAGCTGAGCTTCTTAAACTTGTCACCCTCCAGATGTTTTGGACCACAATTTCTGTCAACCCTGGCCACAATACTCAATGACGACTGGAGATGTAGGTCAAAACCTCTGGAAGGCTATAAGTTGCTCGGCCCTGATTTAACTCATGTTTTTATTAATATTAATATATGGTTTCCCCACAAGTGAATTTTCCAGACACGTCCTACGCTTCCATTTCTCCCATGCAGCTGCAGCTCTTTCATCTATATAGGCCTCAATGGGCATGCTTCTAACTCAGTCATCATTCTAGCAAAAGACTTTTTCCATGGCTGCTGGCACATTTCATATGGGCAATCTGTCATCAGAGCAGAAGGAGCATTCTGGAGTATTTCACTCAAAGTTCCAGCACCAAAGAGAAAGCACACACACAGGCACTTGGGAAGGAACCAAGGGCGTCCTCGCCTCTCGCCTGGACTCCAACTGAGCTCACCCATTTGTATTAGCCACTTGCCTGGAGCTGGAGATTAGGCGGGAGGAGATGTTACTTCCAGTCAGATGCGAGTAGTAACCACCCCCCAAGAGATGGGAGGCAGGATGGGCACACAGCTAATCCCCTGTGCAATCATGTCATTTGGAGGGGGCTATTTTTAAATGGATTTCCCCCAGCCAACTCAAGTCTCTCAATAAACGACTTGGTGTTCTCTGGAAAGGAATGAGAGGCTTTGCAGTTGCATTGGATGTGAATGAATCACTGGCGAGATCCTTTCTCTCTGCCTCCTCTCATCTCGCTGTGCCCTGTACTGCATCTTCAGCACTTGGTGGTGGGATGTGGCCATGCAAGCACATTGGAGTCATTCCCCTTCTTTTCCACGGGCTCATTTTCCCCAGCTCTGGTTTGGTCTGTTGCAAGGCAGTCCGTAAAAGCCTTTCCCAGAGCAGTGCATCCCGATGTCTTGGTCTACAGTTCCCATCATCCCAGACCATTCAGTATAATGACTGGGACTGACAGGAGCTGGAGGCCAGATTCCTGGAGGGCACCATGCAGAGGAACATGTGCTTCCAGATGAGGCTTCTAACATGCAATTGCTTTGTCTCCCTTCATGACTATGGCAGAGGGTCCAGATTATAGGTTAAAGGTGCAGTCTTGTGGCTGCTAGATGCTGCTCAGATGGCCATAGGAAAGCTCAGAGTGCAAGGCTGGGGCTGGGACTCCATGGGGCACCCTCAGTCAGCAGTTACTTCTGTGCAAGCACAACTTCAGAGCCAGGATGAAGGGAAACACAGTCAGGGGGTGGGAAGTGAGGATCCACCAGGATTTGGAGAGTCCTGGCAAGACCTTAGCCATGCCACTTTGATGAGCAAGCTGAACTTTAGCTGAATTCGAAATGTCATAGCCTGCCGAGCAGGTACAAGAAACAGCAGCAAAAAGAACAACAAACCCTCTGGGACATCCTGTATCTTGTTACATCCTGTATCTTGTCACTTAGTAGGAAGACAGGAAAAGCTCATCATTACAGCAAAAGCACTCTGTGACCTATCAGAAGGAGCTGAGTGTCTTATGTAGCAGTTTAGTGCTGACATGTATAAAGAGCTGCTCTGAGCTCCACCCAGGGAGTGTCAGATTGGAATAATCCTCTGTGCATCTTTATTCTGCAGAATAAACTTTTTAACACTTCCTATTCCCGTTGTGCATTAATTGGGCTATAAGTACACCAGGAAAAAAACAGGTCTGCTTTCTGGACAACGGTGCTGTAGAAGCTGGAAGGACTATTGGGGCACATGGTTTTTAGTCAGAGGAGCAGAATCTCAGGCTGGAAACCCCCCTCTTTCCCCCCAGCTACCCATCATCTAGTACTTCCCTAGTTTTTCTGAGGTTTTCCCTATTCTAAAAGGTGGAAATGCATCTCTCAGGCCTTAGTTGCCGGCAGTAAGAGCTTTGAGCTAAAACAGGCTTGCGTGTGTCTCTGTGTGTGTTGGTGCCAACTCGTTCGCTGTGGGACTTGCTCGCCACTTGATTTTAGCCTCGAAGAATTTCTCCGAGATGGAAATTCAGCCTTCTGGCTGACAGAAGTTCAACATACACCAACCCCGTTTTTGCTGCATGAGCGCAAAATGCACACATGGACACACACAAGGCTGAGATAGTTCGATATGGCATGGCTGATGGAGCCATCCGAACAAGGCGGGCGCAAGCTCTCCAAGTTCTAGGGCACAGGCAGAGGTACGCGTGCCATTTTGTTATGGAAGCAGGACCAAAAGTGCCATGTTAACTTCAGCTTTGATGAAGGGAGATGTCAGTCGCGCTGGCTTGAAGACCATGGCCAGTGGTTGGGAAAGGCACTTTTTTTTCAGCCTCCCCATTGGAAGAGTAACAAGGTCTGGCTTCACAAAGCATTTTGGGGCTTTCACAGCCCTTAGGATGTCAGTCATACTGTAAAGTACGATTTAAATAATGTGCATCATTGCTTTTCCCTTGGGAGGCTGCAAAACCCTTGACCTCTGCCTACTATTATTAGGTTTCCATTCCCTTTCGTTCCAGTTTAGGTCTCCAAAACAACACCATCTGTGCACAAAGAGGCAGCAAAGGCGTCAGAGGAACCCCATCATTTGTAGAATGCAGCAACTTTGCGAAAGAAACCTTATGGATGAAGTGGGAAAGTCCACTCTTGGTAGCTATGGACAATCCGATGGTCCTGTATGGGTGAAAAAGAATGGAAAGCCACGGAGCAGCTGGGCATATTGTGAAGGACACTGGCAGCTGGTTGAAACAGGAGCTTAACACATGGTCCTCTTTGCATTTTCTCAAAGACTCTATTAAGGCCTTAAGGATAGACCTACTACAGCTGGGGCAGGCAATCCACAGATCTAACATAGATCTGGATGGGTCCATTTTTAATACATGAAATTATGCCTTAATTTATGCATTTATTCCCATTATAACCAGCCTTTTTTCCTACAAGGGACCCAAGACCTGTTAGGCTGAGGGTCAGTGAAGAACACAAAGTCACCTGGTGAACTACATGGCCAAGCGGGGACTCGAAGTGGGACCTCCCAGAGCCCAGTCCAGCACTTCCCCAACTACACCAGACTGCCTCTCCATGGTGTCCAGAGCGGCACATGTACCTTGTCCTGAAGCTAAATGTAAGCATTTCAACCCTCTGTGGTTGCTACAGAATACTAAAAGGAGAACTTGCTGAAGAGCAGGTAAATTTAGCACTTTTAGCACTATGGAGCCATTTCCCACCAATTTTAGGGTGCCCTGAAGACTGCGCAGCATCCTGTGGCTAGGGGATCAGGTGGTCCAGCAGGCAAAACCAATTCCGACATCCCACAGCTGCCCAGTCCTGCATTAGAAGAATGCTGGTAGCACTGGGAAACTAGATCATCTGAGAGTCATTGCTGCTACGAGCTCATTGCAGAGTTGAGGGGAACTGGAACACCTATGGGGAGCTGGATGACATACTGTGCCTCTGATCCTCTAGAACGGAGACATGTGGTAGGCTTCTGTGAGAGAAGAATGACATTCTGCTCAATGAGATGGTTCTGTAAAGTTGCTAACCCAGATTATATTTTGCACTGAAGTTTTATTTTGTGTATGTAGGGATGATTGGATTTTGTTTTTTCAGTTTTCATTTATAGTCCTTTCATATCCAGAACAGGCAATTAAATGATGACTGTTTCTTAATTGTAAAATTACTGGATGAGGGGCTGAAAAATTCAAGGAACAAGACATATAAAAACTACCTGTTGTTCTGCAGGCAGCACAGAGAGGAGGAGGTAGTGCCCCTGGTGATCTTGTCCGAGCTTCTGCTTTATACTGCTGAGATTAAAAGGGTGGACTTCCAAAACAATTAAAGCTTAAATAATAGCAGAGGGAGACATCCTTCGGCTATGGAGGATTTCCAGAGATTTCTGTTGAGTGACAGGGCATGACCAGAGGAAAAGTGGGTAGTTACTTCACAAAAGAACCATTGTCAGGAAGGCGTCTAATCTCCTCTTTTGTTGAACTTACCCCTTTTGCATTATAGGCATCTTCCTAGCTCTTCTTTTATTCTGCACAAAACAAAGTTCTCAATGGACTGTGTACTTGCAGATTTTAATACCATTCCATTCCCCTGTATGTAACACAAGTTGTACACAAACATACAGATGCCGTTCTTCAAGTCCATCTTAGATAATCCACTTCAAAGGTCATTCTGCCTTTTTACATGACAAAGTGTCCACACAGTATATTGTCACAATACCTCACACAGCACAAATACTTCTTAAAATATTATACACTGTGAACCTGCTGATGGGAGGAAGAGGGATGACGGGCTTGGGCAAGAGTTCCCACAGGACATGAGCCGCATCCCAGGTGCTGATTCGGATTCGGAGGAATGTCTCCGTGAGACTGGGGAGCATGGATTCATTCAAGGTCCTGGGATGCAGCAGCAGCAGCAGCAGCAGCAGATTAGCTCGAGGGGAGGCACCTGGCCACAGCAGTCAGTTCATGGGCAGGGCCCGGACATACAGCCAGTGGGAGGGGCCTCTGGTGATGAGAATCTCCCAATGGGACCAGCCCTCTGCCTCTGAGCGGAGGGCACCCTGTGGCAAGCAGAGGCGGGAGTCTGAATTAGATGAGCCATGCAGAGAGGAAGCGTGCTTGCCTTCAGAGAGCCACTCCCAAAGGGTCTGGACACAGGCGTGTTCACAAGGAGAGTTCCTGGAGGTGCTTGCTAGACTGGGTTCAACAAACTGCTCTGTGTGTGCTCAGAAAGCCATCCTGGGCGATTTGCAATCAAGAACATTTGGAAGGAAAGAGACTATGGCTGGAGTTTGTCAAAGGAGGAGTGTTGGCTCACGATACCTGCTCCCATCAACCTCAGGCTGGCTGTGCAGTTGCAACATACGCAGGAACGGTTCAGTACCATTTGGGGCATGTCAAAAAGGCACCTTTGGAAGCATCGCGTGTATTTAGAAGCCTTTTTTACCCATTCCGGTGAACATGCAATATTTTGTTGTAGGGGCGGGAAAACTTACAGAGAAGCAAAATAAACCATTGCAAAAACAAAAACGGAGGAATGGAAACAACATCTATGCAGTAGTTTTGCCAAAAAAACAAACATCAAAAAAACAAAAACCAAAAAACCCCCCAGCATCAACCCCATTCAGGGTTGGTGAGTAGTGAAACAGGACAGCAACTCAAGATCACTCTTGCAATACAAACTTGCAAATAATGTGTGTGTGTGTGCGTGGGCGATGATTCTTTTTAGAAACGTGGCAGACAAAAACAGGCCTCCCGATGGTTCACACGTGCATACGGGTGTGAGAATGTCTGCTTTGGGGTGGCTGAATTAGGCTAACAGAAACTGTGGGCTAGATAATATACTTTATTTACTATTCAGTGACATCACTGAATAGTTAATAAAACACCAACAAAATCCCCCTGGAGTAACACCATTCTACATCAGATGTTCCACATTTGAGAAAAAATACCTGCATGGTTTCCTTCCCAGAAGCAAGGCAGATGAACTGCTTCGGAAATGTGTGGCTGGAGGGGAGCTATCCTGAAGAAGAAAGAGAACCCCAATATTTTATATCACTGATTGTGGTCAATGAGGACCACCATCCCTGTGCTTTTTCATGATGTGAACCCAAGCTTTTTTATTGTTATTCCCCATGTATACGTTTTTGAGAAAGGACTGACAAGTTAGCGTTGTATGCCTATGGCTGTGCATTTTTTAAATTATCCAAACACTTCATGCATATATTCATTTAGAAAAGCTTGTTTTGGTTTCTCACCTAATTTCTAGCGCTGATGTTGCTTGTCAAGAAGCAAGGAGTAGAATACTGGGGTGCGGGGAATGCAGAGCTATGCAGAGAGAAAAGTACAGAATGCACTTCTAGGTACAGAATTGAGCTTCTTGAGAATCACCACTTCATTTTTAAAAGAAGGCCAAGTTTCTATGGCTAACAAAGGTGTGCTTGGAAGTGTATGGACAAAGCCTTCTGCACAGAGGTTGAATAAGTTTTCCAGTAGCTGTGGGAGTCTGCACAGCTCCTTCCTCAGGGTTACCAAAGGCTAGATAAAATATGCAAACACAAGAGGAAGTATGTACATTTGCTCATTTGTTGTACAATTCTGTTTTCCTTGGCACAGCTTTGGTTTACCTGGGGCAAGGAACTTGAATTTTTAAAAGCATGTTCTATGGGATGCAGTAGATCTAAGGCCTTTTGACAGAAAGGGCCTCAGTTTTCTGTGGAGAACCCCGGTGCTAGGATAGGAGATAGTCCGTACATCTATATTTTCTACAGGGACAATCCGATCATCATCACACTTGGAATTACATGGAGAGGATCTCAGGAGCAAACCATGCACAGGAGTGATCCAGATCCCCAAATTCCCCTTCAGGATTTGCAACTGATGCCTCTGGAGCAATGCCTGGTGCAACAGGACAGCTGGCAATCCAAACAGAAAATTTAAAAAGCACCAACACGTACACAAACATGCTTTGCTGCACGCGTGCTAGGTACACACGGAAGCACCCAGACAGAGAGGCGGAGCAGCCTCCTGCTGCGCTCGTCAATGCCAGGGCTCAAGAACCATCAGGGATGCAACAGGACAGGTGTTCAATGGGAGAGATCCACCTGGGGAAGCCAAAGTGGCTCTCTCCATATTCTTGGCTCATTCTACACCGAGGGGTCTATCAACAGTAGCTCCATTTTAAAAACATATCATAAATAGAAATCAGGATCTTCATAATATAATAGGACAAGATTCAAGCAAATGAAACAAACCATCCTGAGCCGTCTACTAAATGCTTTCAGCAGAGCAATACCTCACATGCATTTCCTGCATCTGCACGTACATAATATACAAGTATACATTGGGCAGTGCACCAAGTCCAATAAAAAGTCTTTCCCAAACCGCCAGTTCGTAGTGTGCCATAAAATGTTCTAGGGGTAATGGAAAAATGCACAATGTTTGTATCAACGCCTGTCTACATTCATTTTGATTTATTTTATTGTGTCTGAATGCTCCCACCCACCATAAAAGGGTCTTCAAGGCAATGTAACTTGCTTTTCTTCCTAGAATCACACTCCTTCGGTAAGGCACATTTCTTTATATATGCACGTTTTTAAAAACCACACACCACAAAACCAAATATCCACCCAGAAAGCTGAGTGGGGGGAGAAAGACATTTGGCCGCATCTGGAGAACTGCTGGAATCCTCATGACCCTTCCAATTCTGGCTCCTATATGAATTCTCCCTGGAAGAGTGAAGAGCTACGGTTTTGCTCCTGCCAGCGATAGCGAAGCCGAGTCAGTGGCTTGTCCTCCAGGTCCTCAAATTCAGCGAAGCCCAGGCAGTTCAGGATCTCATAGACTCCAGCCCTTGCTGCCACCTGAAAAAGGAAGGGAAATAGAGTGGGTCTTTCAAGTCCTCTAAGTAGCAAGAAATCACTTGTATTGAACAGAAGAATTTACACTGCAGAAATGACGGATTTCATGTTTTGGTGTAAGAAAGCACCGCCTGCATTCTGAGAAAAGTGAGGCAGCCCTAGTTCGAAGTGATGCTCTAGAGCAGTGACAGTGAACCTTTTAGAGACCGAGTGCCCAAACTGCAACCCAAAACTCACTTATTTATCATGAAGTGCCAACACTGCAATACAACCTGGAAACTAAAGGTTTTTGTTTAGAAGAAGCAACTCGCAGACAGTCCAAGCAATATACTGGGAGCACACTGACTGGCCATGCGAAAGCTCGGACGAGTCGCAGCTCATGAGGACATTGCCTGGAGCCAATGCTCCTTCTGGATCATGCGCATGGCCCCCGTGTGCGTTGTCATCCGATGCTCGGCTGCTGGGGCGATGCTGGGGCGACTTGGCTCGCATGCTGACAGAGAGGGCTCTCCTTGCCCGCTGTGGCACGCCTGCCATGGGGTTGCCACTACTGGCCTAACTCTCACCTGGTGCAGACCCCTAAGGCTAATAGAGAGTGAAAGTTCCATTGAGAAGAGGGCGGTTTTGAAAAGGCCGTTCTTGAGTAGCTTCTTCTGCACTGCTCATCCTTTCTGCCCATTCTAAACACATTCCGACCATCAAAACCATGCCAGGGCACCTCGTTTCCCTAACCCTAACCCTATCCTGGTGCACACCGCTAACCCTAATATAGGGCTACAATACCATAGAAAGGAGGGTGGTTTTGAAAAAGGCTTCCTTGAGTAGCTTTTTCTGCACAGCTCATCATTTCTGCCCATTCTAAACACATTCCAACCATTAAAATCATGCCAGGACACCTCATTTTTGTGACCCTAACCCTACCCTGGTGCACTCCCCAAACCCTAATATAGGACTAAAATACCATAGAAAGAGGGTGATTTTGAAAAAGCCTTCCTTGAGTAGCTTCTTCTGTACTGCTCATCATTTCTGCTCATTCTAAACACATTCCAACCATCAAAACTATACCAGGACGCCCCATTTTTCTAACCCAAACCCAGTGATGGTGAGCTTTTTAGAGACCAAGTACCCAAACTGCAACCCAAAACCTACTTATTTATCGCAAAGTGCCAACACTACAATAAAACCTTACAACTGAGGTTTTAGTTTAGAAAAAACACCTCACAGCCAGTCCAAGCAAATATCCTAGGCAGCACACTGACCAGCCATGTGAAAGCTCAGATGAGTCGTGGCTAATGAGTCACGGCTCGTGATGTCATCGCCTGGCGCTGCTACTCCTTTCTGAGCATGCACACGGCCCCTATGTGCGCCGTTATCTGATGCGTGGCTGCTGAGGTGATTCTGGGGCGACCCGGCTCGTGTGCCGGCAGAGAGGGCTCTGTGCGGCACACGGGCCATAGGTTCACCGCCACTGTTCTAGGCATCCCCCCACAAGGTTCCCTCCAGATGTGCTAGTCTCCAACTCCCTGCATCCCCAGTTGCCCATGCTGGGAGTCGCAGCCTCTCTGGAGAGAATCTGGTTGGCAGAGGCCACTCTAGAGAGCAGCATCAAAATGGTTTGTAAAATTTGCAGACATGGTAGAGCTCAGAATATATATTTGCATGTATTATTATGGGCCTGATGAAGAACACAGCTAAATTTCCCTAAAAATGCTGCCAGGAGAGAAATCTCTGCCACCAGCTGCCCATCACACTCTCCAGGCGCTGGCCATGTGCACACACTTCAGTTCCACATTGCCAGCGTAACCTGTGCTTGTTCCAACTTATGCTTCCACCTGGGTTCTGTCCCTGGGAAGCTGCTGTCTTCTTACAATGGAGGGGATATTGTGGAAAGGGGTACATCGTCTCACCTTCCTTCCCAGTCACTGCCCCACCTCTTTACCTCCCTGTTTCAGGTCCACGTTCTTACAGCTACTGCTTCCCTAGAGATGTGAAGCCCTGAAACACACACACAAACACACACACACAGGCATAAAGAGAGAGAGAGAGAGAGAAAGAGAGAGAGAGAGAGACAGACAGACAGACAGACAGACAGACAGAGAGGGGGATTGTTTTCTGAACTTTTCCAGGCATTCTTCATAAAGATATGCAAAGGGAACTTGGGTTAGCACATAGTACATCCAGATTCACATGCGACTGCACATGGCGTTTCGCATCCAACTAGATCTGCAACCCCACAGACACGTTTCTCCCCCATCCACCCCACAGTTTAGCCCAGTGGCTTTTTGCAATGCTGTGCCAGCACACCTTAAGGCAGGCTCTACTCCCCCCCGCCCCCACAAAGAGATAACCCTATAAAGATCTGAAGCATGTGAGAGCTACCCTGGGCTTGTGTACTTAGATTTTGGTACAGCCGGAGGAAGCCTTTCCAAGTTTCTATACTGAGTGATTAACCTTTTTATAAACCACTCTTTATCTGTTAGCATTTGCAAGGTTTTGTTAGTTTTGGTATATCCTAGCAAATATGACAGTGTTGCCTCGCTTCTGGAAAGAGGCAAAAGCCTTTTGAGAAAGCAAAGAGGAGCAGATGGCACAGGAAACACTGGGTCTTTTTTCCAGCCATCTCTCCTGGAAGCAGCCTGACTCTGCTAAGTGTGTGGACAGGACGATGAGCTGTACAGGGAGCCCACCAATTTCCCTTGCAACAGCTGCAGTGGGGACTTGGCCCACCTCCGGGTAGGAAGCAACTGCAGGGTCTTGTTGCCGAGGCCCACACGGACCACACATTCGCTCCTCCGCTGGAAGCAGGAGAACAGCCAGCGCCTTGGTATGACCAGTACTCCCTATCACCCCAAGGGACCACACCAACTGGCTGCAGCGCACCCTACACAGTAAGTAGCGAACCTCTGAACCCCTGCGTCTTCCGTGCAAGCCACTCCCTCCCACTTGGCTTCTCCTGCTGGCGCAAGTGGGCAGACAAGCCAGAAAAAGTAGAAAAAGAAGAAAATAAGTCCTTGCACTGTATTTTAACAAATAACAGTACTTTAGACAATTGCTCGGCATATCATCCGAACCCGCCATTCCGTCTTGCTCCTCTCCCAAACAAGCCAGGATTGGTAAACCAAAAACAAGCCCTGGTGCACCACGATTGGCACAGCAGAATTCCGCAGAAACACGGCTTACCATTTGGTGGGAACACAGCCAGGGATGGATGAGATAGTAGGATCATTTAAAAATTAAATATTGGATCTGTCTACCAGCATTATCTAAAACACTCTTCCTCATCCTGAGGCCCTCCAGGATGTTTGGAATAATAAGCCCCAGAATCCCTAACCACTGTCTATGCTGGCTGGAACGGATGGGAGTTGTAGTCCAAAGCTTCTTGGAAAGTGTGCCATATGGCATGGGTGTGTCCAAGATGGTTAAAACTATGATCACTGGATAAATGGTTACTTCCAAGTGTGAGTGGTTGGGGCGGGGAGGCGAGGGGAGACACCAAGGACTATTTTGGTTTGATTCTTAAGAGAAAATGCTGGACCCAGTTCATTCCGAGTTATTATGAGATTGAAATTTCAAGCAATTCTGGCAAGTGTATGCGTTTGAATTCATGGGTTTGTTTCACAATAAGTACAAATGCATACAAATGAGTTCGCATCCAAAAGAGTGAGGGGAGGGGAAAGGGCGATTGCTTAGGAAAATGAAGAAAATGTTCCAGGAACATCTGCCTGACCTCACTCAAATATGGGCAATAGGGAAGCCTAGAGACTACCCTGGAGTATGTGCTATCTTGTTATGCTTCAGTAAAATAGACAGACATCTGCTATGTTTATGTTCTTCTTCATACTTGTTCTTCAGCCAGAACTTCCTACCCAAGTACTCAAAAAGGCATAATATGTAATATTTTCCTGGGCCTTTCATTCACAACTCCTCCATTCATCAAACCTTCAAAGCAAGCTGCCAGAATGTGACCCTGACCAGCACGAAATATATGCAAGGAGATAGAATCTACCCCTGTAGAATGAAAAGCAATTCATTCTACAGCACAAAAAAGAAGGTTATTTCCATAGTCAGCTCCTTAACAATTATAAAAATATATTCCTTCTTTGAGTCAATTCCAATGGGCTTGAGGGTGCTACACAATTTATTGTCAATGCTCTTTGACATGATTTTCTTTTGCATTCTTATTTTCTAACTATTCTTATTGATTACAGCCACATATGTTACCACTTACTCTTGGGAGACATTAGGAAGGTCAAGGCCTAAAACCAAATGCCATGCACACAGATGCTATTCTTTGAAGATAAGAGCTTCTTCTTGCCACACTCTGACAAGGACCTCTTTCACCCTGAAGCAAAGAGAAGCTCTCATCTCTGATCAGGAGTGGAGATAAGAGCTTTTCCCGGCTGTACTGTGAAAACGAGTTCCTTCCACAGTGCAGCAGGGAAAGTCAGCATTTCCCCCGAAAAGGAAATCATTCTCTGCCTCCATGGGCCATTTTTTGCCTTTCCGTGTTGCAGGGCAAAGGCAGAAAGCCGTCCATGTGGACACGGGCTGCGCTCTTCACTCAAGCACAGCTGTCCTACTGTTCTGCACAGTGGAATGAAGCGCACATGGGGGAAGGGAGGGGGAGGACTGAGGGACAGGGGGAGGGAGATCTGAGGAATGCAAGCCGCTTCAGATTCCTCATGAGAGGAAAAAAGTGGGATATAAATGTATAATAATAATAAGAAGAAGAAGAAGAGTAAGAAGAAATAATAGAAATAGAAATAATTAAAAGCATATATAGATCACTGCATGGTAAGTGCATCTCTGCCCAAGAGCTTCCGGGAACACGGGTGGGATCTAGCCAGGTGAGTTAACTCAAACAATGTGCATTCTCAACCCTTTAAAACCTCCCTCAGAGCAGAAGCGAACAAGGGTGAGAAAGACCAGTCGCTGGTGCCTCTGAATTGGCCAAGCTTGGTGTGAGAGGCTTCGGAGAAGGACCACTAACCACACGCTTTGCGTGCTGGACTCAGCCTCAACTCCTCGCCTCCCTGAAAGGGGTGGCAAAGACCCACACACAAAACCCAAGAGAGCAGCCCACATGCACTGAGCTCTAGGTTTGTCTTGATATACAGAAGCTGCTGCTGTGATTTTTTCACACATTGTTGTCGTTGTTAGTCGCAAAGTCATATCTGACCCATTGCGACCCCATGAACAACATTTCTCCAGGCCTTCCTGTCCTCCACCATCCCCCAGAGTCCACCTAAGCTCACGCCGACTGCTTCAGTGACTCCATCTAGCCACTTCATTCTCTGCCGTCCCCTTCTTCTTTTGCCATCTATTGTTCCCAGCATTAGGCTCTTCTCCAGGGAGTCCTTCCTTCTCATTAGGTGGCCAAAGTATTCGAGTTTCATCTTCAGGATCTGGCCTTCTAAAGAGCAGTCAGGGTTGATCTCCTCTAGGACTGACCAGTTTTTCTTGCAGTCTAAGGGACTCGCAGGCGTCTCCTCCAGCACCACAATTCAAAGGCCTCAATTCTTTGGCTCTCAGCCTTCCTTATGGTCCACCTTTCACAGCCATACATTGCAACTGGGAAAACCATAGCCTTGACTATACACACTTTTGTCGGCAGGGTGATGTCTCTGCTTTTTAGTATGCTGTCTAGGTTTGCCATAGCTTTCCTCCCCAGGAGCAAGCGTCTTTTAATTTCTTGGCTGCAGTCCCCGTCTGCGGTGATCTTGGAGCCCAGGAAAATAAAATCTGTCACTACCTCCACTTCTTCCCCATCTATTTGCCTGGAAGTGATAGGACCGGATGCCATGATCTTAGTTTTCTTTTCACACATACACATATATATATTATTATCTGCCAGAAAGCCATCAATGTATTAGCCTAATGCATGACAAGAGTAGCTCTGAGGCATCTAAGCAGCGCCTGCTT